GGTCTTTTCCAACCTAAATGATTCTATGATTCTATGTTGTACCGGTGAGCCCAGAACTGGACACAGTACTCCAGATGTGGCCTTACCAGTGCTGAGGTGAAGATTAGAGGGGAAAGATGTATACAACCGTTTTTCCCCTCTCTAGCCTTCTTTCTTCCTATGTACAAGGAAAACACTATCAAAATTTAGTTTTTAGATGTGGATAGAATGGGATCAGTAGAAAGGCTGGTTTCAACACACTGTAAGCATTTGTTGTTGTTCTATTCTTAAAAGCACTTTTCTTTTTCAAGGGGAGAATGTTTGATTTTGTTTTTAGTTACATTTCACACTTTTTGTACTTTCATGCCTCTCTTCTGAAAAATGTTTTACTCCCTCTTCTTAAATATACAGTAGACTTACAGTGCATTCCAACAATTCTATTTGTCATGTTTGCCAACATTTTAAAATCTGTGGAGGAAACTCAGCAACATGCAGTAATGGAAGATATGGGCTCTTAATACCACAATAATACTCACTCTTTTCTCATAACCAGAAAGCAACCTCTGTGTATCATGATTTTACTAATATTACAGTTAAAAAGCCCTTTGGCTTAGGTACCCTTAAAGTTCCACCACCCTGTTCAGACAAACTGTATAGCATAGTATGTACATAAACTACAAAACTGTCTAGAGAGAGGCCATATATATACAAAAAATTACCTGGTCTTCAAAGTCAAATTCTGTATAAACAGCATCTCTAGAATCCATAATCAGACTGCAATGAAGTTCATTTGGCCCTAAAATAGTAAAGAAAATTAGACTTTAGAAATGGATTGGAAATGTTCACTTTATGTGATGGAACACTATAATATTTCCAGTTGTCTGTATGTATGCAAAAACTGTGATCCAAGGAACCATTCAGATGTGCTAGAGTACCCGGGTGAATGGTATTCCATTAAAAAAGCCTTCAAAGCATCCATAAAAGCTACCACAGATCTTAATAAGGAATGGTTATACTAAATGGTGAGTTGTTTCAGCTAGATTGCAAGTTTCTTGGGCAGGGTGTTCTGCGTGCCATGACTCGTAATTGTAAAATTGCCACAGGGATTTTGGCTCAGGGGAGACTACAAACCATGTTTAAGAAAGAGAAAGGAAATACTGACTAATTGGCGATTAGCAGATAAGGATCCTGGAGCGATGTTGATGTGGGACCAAAGCAGCACGCTTCCAGCAGCCACAGTCCCCATTCCTATCCTACCCCTTTCCAAGGCTTGCACTTAGGATGACAAAATTCAGTTGCTGAGAAGCCTGGACCTGGCTGAGCTTTACAGTTTAGCTTCAGCTGAACTGCTGAAGGTGCAGGATAACAGAAATTGGGCTTGGTATTTCAAGCAGTCATGTGGGGGGTAGTCATCGCTCAACCAGAATGGGAGGATAAACCACTAATCATCTTTCTGTATAAACATAGGAAGGGTGTAGCATGTACATCATATTCATATTCTGGCATTATCAGCCCATTCAGACTATCTCATTCCTGGGCACTGAGGAAGGAAACAGTCTCCTGTGCCCTCCAGATGGTGCAGCCCTAAACCAAATCCTGCGCATATTCCACACGCATTAAAATGTCAATAGGTGTGTGACTACAGGAGTATTTTTCACAGCATTATTAAAATTACAATAACAAAAATACTGTAGTGATAGACAGAGATCTAAAAATTGTAAGCAGCCTGTAGCCACAGGTGAGTCCAATCACTATCTTCATGTGGGGAACAACAGGTAACACCAGGGGAAGTGTAAGATGTGCTTTGTTTTGTGCCCTCATGTCCCCAGTCAGACAAGATCACTGATGAGGAAGAGAAAACAACTCCCTCCTTCCTGGGTTACAGGTGTCTCTACCTGGTTCCTGCAAGCACTGGCATCGAGGATACATAGTTTTAAGACTACTGCTGACCTGGAGTTGTTTTCTCACCATTACAGATGTTTGTATGGGTGGCTCTCTAACAAGCACTATCAATAACAGATTTTGCATCTCAGTTTGTGCCAGATGCATTTATGTATTATCTGCTTTTGTTTGCTTTTAAAGTTTACATAGTAATAATTTATGTAGGTGGTGAACTAAACATCACTAAGAGAACAGAGGAGAGGAACTAGATGTCATGATGACTAAAACCGTAACTACTTGGTAGAGATGATGATTCTAGGGTGTCTTAATTTGCAATCCATATTACCGTTGGTGCCAAATTCATCTTTGATGCAACTCTTTGGACTACGTAAGAGATACCAGGGAAAGACCTGGGTCTACCATCTGCCAGTGTTTTTGGTTTGTTTTTCTTTTTTCCTCTAATGTTCATGTATACTTTATCAGATTGCTACCAAAAAAATAACAGAAAAGGATTATACTCTTGTTACCATAGAATGTCACATGTATATATGCAGCATGTTCTCTGACATATACACTTCATGGTCTTTTGAAAATACCTGTCTGTAAAAGATATATGCAACCAAATAGATTTACAGCTGCTGAGAGAATCTTAATTTTTTGATAGCTGATATCCCACTCTTAACATTGTGTCATTGTTGATAATATAATTTAACTAAGCCTCGGTCGTCACCAGCACTGGCCTATCTTGACACATCAATCACTTTTAAAGGCACTTGTGTGCAAGTATTTGATTAACTGTCACTTAACTACTGCGAGCAGTATGTATACTTAGCCAGAAATGTTAATATGAAATACGGTGCTGCAAACTTAAATGTAAAGGTCAGGCTGAAAATGAATACTCATGCATAATATATCTTAAGTGATAAAAGCCATAATGGTTATACAATTTTAATGTGGTCAAGCATGTTAAGGCCTTTTTTTTTTGAACTAGGACATCAGTTTCCTTGGAGAAGCATAGCTCCTTTCTAGGGTGTTTTCAAGGAAGGTCAGGAAAATTGAAAATACGTGTCTTTTCTTTCTTGGTTCAATGAAAACTAACAAAATCCATAACCATCTATCACTGAACTGTATACAGACTTCTCTACCCTTCTCAAATTGCCTCAAGACAAACCTATCAGAAATGAATTGAAGCAAATGGCTACTCCCAGGACAAGATAAAGTAATGAGGGGACATACAAAAGTACTTGCAATATCCCTGGTGCAGTATGAATAAGCATGAGTAGTTTTCTATCCTCCAGCTCAGTTTGTTGTTCGAGGGAACATATTTTGCTGAGTTTGGACTAAATCTTGCTAAAACAGGTTTTCTAGGGGAGGACAACAGGTTTGCTAACTAATCGCTAGTATGTGTGGCAGCAGAAGTGTACCAGATAGCCACTTTGCAAGGTACTGGGAGTCAGTAATCCTGGTGGCAGGTAAAGCTACTGACAAGGCTAAAGCCAAGGGGAGAGTTTTAGAAAGAGTGGATAATTCAAAACTCAACTTAGGTTTTCTAAGCCCGAGTTTCAATCGGCAACATTTTATGTAAAAGTTGTGGCAATGTTCAGCTATCAAAGGAGAAACACAAAATGCTGGGTTAAGGAAAAGAGGAGGATTGGTTAAAGCATTTGGAAGCAAACATGCCCTGCTGCTTTCAATGAGTCTGCAGGCTGCACATCTCACACTCTGACAACAAAACAGTTGATCATAAGTTTCATTGCCTTTTCTGAGTTGCATTGTTTTTCCTTTTATAACTTAGTACACTGAGAACTAGGCTATAAAAAAAAAATTAATACTTGTTTACCATTAGGAGGAAAGTCTTACAGTCTGAATTGTCCTAATTCCTTTCAATGGGATGCCCCGTTGCACCACCAGATAATCTTAGCTCTTGGTTAACTTAGAGCTTTTTTGTGCTTTTATGAACCTATTGCAAATGATCTGAGTAACTGTATCAATTTCAACAGGGGCAACTCAACAGTTTAAAAAAAAAAAAAACAACCAACATGAAAGCTCTGCTGCTATGGAGAAATAGCTTGCAAGCACCTGATCTGAAAAGGTACTCGTATGACTTAAAATATGCTTCCTCAATTTCAGTGCATGCATAAAGTTAAGGTAAGGGAAACTTGGTCATTTTCATGTGCCCTGGGGTTTCCCTTGGGGAAAAACCACAGAGATGATATTTTAGGTACAGTACTGCACAATTAAAAAATAAATCAGTTGGAAGTTTTTATTAAATCCCCATTAACTGAATAATCAGCTCTCCAGGGAGGAGCAGGCTGCTGAAAAAAGAAAGAGCAGATTGGCTAGAATGCATTCCCTTTTTTTGCTAGGCTTTGTATCTTGACACTGAAGGCATCATTCATAAAGGTTTGTCTTGCTAGGAACCCAAGAAGGTCCAATGGCACAGCACAGAGGGACGAGCTGAATTAATAGGTGGCTGCAGTTGTACAAGGGTGTGCTGACAGGAGCTACCCCTGCCAGCTCTGACAGGCAGGGAGAATGATTCCCCTGCTCCTGGAGGGGTACAGGGCTGTGCTCAGTTGCTTCCTTCACCATGAGGCTGTACTTGTAAATTTTATGCTGTATTTTACATACTGTTTGTTGCTCCTAAGCTGAATTGTGCCGGATCGGTCATGGAAAGCTGGGAGGGTATGGCTGTTACGGCCAGGTGTGTGATTCCTACCGCAGAAATGCTCCCCAGAACCCAGGGGCATCGTGGCCGTAAATGTCTCTGGTCCTGTAAAACATTTCAGTGTTCTGAGCCTGGGTGCGTGTCACTTCCTCTGAAAGTGTGTTCATCCTTAAGTTTTCATGAATGCAAATGTCAAGCATTACTTTTTCACAGTTCACTAAATTAATTTATACAATGAAACTAAATTGTACTGATCTGTCTAAATTTATCTGCAGCTGATTTAATTTCCCATTCCAAGGTAGCTATACCCCATCATGTAAGTTAATTAAGTCTGCTCCTTGGACCATTTGTGGTTTGGCAAATCAGCTAATGTATTTCCAATCCTTGCTTAAATCCATTACTTATTTAAAATCCTGGTAGCAATTCTATTCAGTATGGTTCATTGGCTCAAATATGCCCATACTCATATTTTAACAACTGTAGTATTTGCACTGTTCAACACTGACTGTCATAAAAGTAATCTAAGACTATCCTGTGAAACATGTTGCTTCTCTTAATAGCATGTTTAAGCTCAATAAAATAAAAATGTCTTTTTATGTTATGGAACATGCACTGAAGCACCATCTAACAACTCAATTAATGCATGTTGCATATAAGCACTTGGGCAAGAAAAATGCTTAGGAGATAAATTTCAAGTGGAATATAATAGAAATAATTTACTGAAGGACTGATTAGCATTAGAATGATTACATTTTAATTTTGCTCTCAGTAAGATGCTTCTAATACAAATTTTATTGCAACCTTACACTGTTGAGTTTCATGACAGGTTGTTGCTCTTAGCAACAGTCCTAATATGTTGTTGAAGGCAACAATGAGAAAATTGTATTTTAATCTGTAAAAATATTCAGTTGTTTTCTTTCAGCATATATTGTTACACAGTTGATTACAACTGGGTTTTACAGGTATACCATGAATTAGATTGATGTGGAGGCATGAAAATATTAGAAATACTATGTTTATGTTAGCCACCAGGAACCAAAATATATTGCAATATCACTAATAAGATTAAAAGACAAAAAGTGAGATCAAGGCAATCCTGGAATTGTGACCTCTAGAAATTAAATATCTGGTCTCATAGGATCTCTAGAAATCCTACTTCAAATCTCCTTACTGTTACTGGTGCTCAGGTTAGGCACTAATTAGATGATTGTGGCATGGCTTCTGATAAAGCTCATAGCTCTCCAATTATTTTGGTGAGGAATTTATTAAGCAGATCAGACTTTCGAGGAAGTGACTGGAACTCATCCAGAATCACAACCAATTTGTGCAAATTGTTTAGCTTTTGTCAATCTGGTTGTCAGAGCTAGCACCTTTATGCCACTTCTTTCCTCTTCTTGCTATTCAGTACTTAGCTTGTTTAATTAGGGAATCCGCAGGTAATTATCAATATAATACTAAACAGTGGGAATGCTGTTTTAGGTTTGGAATCAATCTCTTGTCTCCTGGAATAAAGTTAAGCACAAAAGAGGTAAGCGTGCCACTTAACGGAGAAAGCTAGTAGTCTTTATTCTTGTGTGCATCTTATCTCGAAGCTGACCACTAGAAACCTGTTTTTTTAGCTAATGCACATTTTATCATTCTCAACCCCCCACCCCCACTGCCTTGATAATTCATCTTTATCTCATTTTGAACATTATCAAAAATAGCCCTGTGGGTGGGTTTTGTAGGCTAGCTAGCTTGGAACCCCTTTCAGAACTTCAAAATAGAACCTAATCTTTCTGTCTGAAGCACTGCTCTTTGCAAACATCTTGCTAGTAGAAAAAAGTAATCCCCCCTCTGTCAAAAAGAGATAATAGATGTACTCCTACTACTAGACTTCACTGTGCTTCACCAACTCCTCCTTCCTTGGCAGCCCCCAGATTACAAACAACTGAAGCTACCCTGTCTGCCAATTTATGGCAGATGAGTTTTCCCTTAAACAGAGGAGAGATCAGATACACGATTTTCTCTACTATACATATCTAATCTTTGTTTTAATAAAGCTAGTAATTTTTACAGTAAAATATTTCACCTAGAATTTTCTTTTTGTGTACTGTTTCACAGGACATTTATGACCTCATCTACCTATATAACCCTCATGGTCTACTTGGCAGGCAGCCAGGGATGCCATCTGTAAAAAGAAAAAGTTGTGAAGTTACCAAGCAATATTTTCCTGTTCCCCTCAAGCAAAATATTTCTGACAGATGTTACGGATTTTCAGTGCTTTGATTTTTAGCTTCAACTCTTTTTGCAATCCTTTGTCCCTCAAAGGCTTTTTCTTTGAAGATATTCAAGCCTCAGTAAGCACAAATAATAAATATATAAATAAATAAACCCCCCAAATGCCTGACATATTCACACACAGTTTCAGAATTATTACCAATTATTAGGGTGGAAGTATGATCATTAATCTCATAAGACTGGTTTTCTGGTGAACACTGAGGCATCATCTGGAACTGAAACAGATAGCTGAGAACTGGAGTTCATCAACTTCTAAGGTTTCTGTATTGATGATGTAGTTTTTTAGTGGACTATCCATAGTATTTTAAGATGAGCTTGTAGATAAACAAGATGTTAGGTGGGTTGTATGAAGTTTCCAGTCTAAAGAGATTTTGTTTGTCCTTCATTGTGCAACTGTTTGAGGTTGGTCAAGACTTTGCTACAGTACATACATCCATGCTTGAGGAACATGAAAAAGGCATGCCACCAATGTCAAATGCTGTATAAAAAATGTGGTTCTCTAAATCTTACGTTAACTCACCTGCTGCAGCCTCTTTGTTTGCAAATAGTTTATTGTCAACTGCCGAACTTATGTCAAAGAACACTTCTTCTTCATCTCTGTCTGCATCAAACTATTAAAAACAAAAAAAGTTAGCAATCACACTGCTTACTACTTGGCTGAACATCAACATGTAACATGTCTTCTCACCCCAAGCCTTCTTGATAGGAACCTTTCTATTTTTCCGTGTGCTGTCCATTGCTTTAGGTATGAATCATTTTAATTTTGACTGAAGACTAAACTAATTCTGTAAACCATTTTAGCTATTTTTAATAGGTTGTCAGGAACAGAAGCTACAGTAAAATTGACTTGCTCTCAGAGAATGAAGCTTCAAAGCAGAAAGTAAAACTAGTAATGCATATTACTTTTTAAACCATTAGATAGCTGAAAAAAATGACAGCGTAGAGACCAGAAATGTGATTACTTTATTGTCACTTCTTTTCAGAGATTAGCATAATTAACTATTTAATTTGCAAGTGAAAAATTTTCAGCAACTTCTCAATTGTCTGAAACCAATTTTTGTGACACGGATGTGTGTACGATTTCTTCAAGTAGTTGAGTAAAATTCTTAGGAAAAAGTAAAGTATTTCTGAAAGTCTCCTATTATATGGAAAAGAAAGCTTTCCTTGCTCTTGTACTAGCAGAAAGTGTATTGGCTCAGTGATAAATTAATAAAATCAGGAAAGCAAAGCTCCTTTAAAATGGCAAATAATTAATTTCTTACCATTTCAAACTTTTTTCATTTATTCTATCTTTTGCCGGAATTCTGATACTGATTCTTCCAAACTGTTCTCAGCTCTGTCTGACAGGTTCTTTTTATGGCCAGGTGACATGCTTGACAGTGGGTTTGTATTCTTTATCATATTTATAAAGCTTCATTCATTCAGACCATCACTTACTGAGGCTTTATTTGGAAAAAAATTGGACTTTTTATTACTGTTGCTCTGGATTTTTTCTTATTTCTTGAACTGAGGCCACGTGCATTACTATGGAAAAAGGGGAATACTGTAACCTCAAGTTAAAGGAGCAAGCAAATAATGGTCACATCAGATGGCTGTCATTGAGTGCATGCCCCCCTGCGTAAGAGTCACTATTTTGAATCATTTTGTATCTTCAGTATAATACGTTTTAGGATGCCGAATGAAACCCAGGGCAAAAAGCATTACACTAGTGATTGCAAGCTCATGAACTTCAGTGGGCTCTTTCTTCCAAGTCCAAGACTGTTGTGCACCTTTTCAGATGTCTCGCCAATACCTGCCTGTCTCATGGTAAAAATAATAGGCAGGGAGCAGCCTTGGAGGGAGAAGTTCAAACCCGACTAGGAACTTTGCTGCAGAAGCTGACATTTATAGAGGTGAAGTTGTTTTCCAAATACCTATCTCAGAATATAGCATGATACTTAACGAGACAAGCAATTCAGTATCTCTCTAAAATTAACTAACACCCACCACTGCAAAATCAGTATCACTCTTTTCATTATGACTTATGTATTATCTATATTACTTAAGCTGTTCTGTCAGTGGTAATGCAATTTGCTTTCCTATGGAATTTTCCATCAGCACCTCAAGGTAAACTCAGAGGTAAATATCAGCCTAAGAATAATTATTTAGAATGGCAGATGTCAGAAATAGTTCAAAAATAGGGAAAGAACATCAGAGGCAAAGATTGGTTCTACAAACTGTGTCTGTGTGAATGGAAGAAAATGGAAGCTTGTGGGAGGCCAGTGTATCCTAGAGGCAGGCAACCATTGTAGAAAGTTTGCTGCCAGCAAGCTTAACTCTTAACACTTGTCTGAGTTCTCAAATCTTAATTGGTATTAGTCCTTACATTTAAAGATTTAAATTTAAAGATTTAAATTGGATTTAAATTTAAAGATTTAAATCTTTAAGGTCTTAAATATTTAGCTTTATACTTAGCTCAGCCCTAGAGTTCATTTCCATCATAATGAGCCTACTGTAATTATCAATACATGGAGTTTTCTGACTGGTTCTTGAAATGGATTTTCTGGCTCTGACCCCGAGGACCACTCAGAAGTTCATCCTGTGATGCAGCACAGGTGTCCATCTGTCTGGGCAGACACTTATCTATTCTGGAGGAGTTCTTTTGCCATTCAATGTTAATCAAAATTCAAAGCATTATTTTTTTTATTTATAAAGCAGAAATTTGTGTTTACATATTAAAAAGATTAAATCTTAACTTGTGTCAAAACTGAGGCTTGTGGAAGAACAGGTCTTAAATTAAGCTGTTGGGCTACTGTTGGGCAATTTATTATCTATGCACAAAGAGCGGCTTTGGAATTTCCTTGTTGTAAGAAAAGAGTACTGATCTCTCTGAATTTCTTCTGCTTTGGTCTGTCTCCAAGGAAGTGTGAGGATAGGTTTTTCTTCTGTTGCTTCTCAGCAAAAAATGTATGTGTTTCATTAGATATGCTAGGGAAGACATATATAATATCATATTTGTGGGTATGTGTACGCATAAAAAACAGCAAATTGTAATCAGGTTGTGTCTGATTGTTATTGTGTATGTCACGCTACAGTTGGAGAAATGACAAGCTTGCTTTCTCATTAGTAGCATTCCTCTGAATAATCCAGTTTACCATGAAAAAACACAGGATCAATCTCAAAACATTCTGAAGGTTCCAAGAATTTGAAACATCAACTTCCCCCATTGAAAGAACACCAGCTGTGCTTCAGTACTCTGAAAAATCTGGGCTTTGTAATAAAAGCCTATATTCTCACCCAAAGAAAACCAACTATTTGAAGTTTGCACATAGACTCAGTTTTCCCCTCACAAAATGAGAACTGTAATACCCTGAGCCACAGGAAGGCAAGGTAGCTTTCACAGAGAAAATATTTTTGAAAGAAACTAAGTAAACCATGTGAATTCTGTACTTCATTGAATTGTAAAACATTTTAAAATGAAATCCTTTGATAATTATTGGAGGCTTGAATAAAACATAAAAGGTACTCAACCCTATTCACAAAGAACAAACAGCAGTAACACTCGTATTTTTAGCAGAACGTGTCTAAAT